CGCCGACCGCCTCGAGAAGACATCACACTGCATCACAACATCCACGAAAATTCACTCACAAAACATCGAACACGAGCCAAAATCTACATGTAAATACTCAACAACAATCAATTGACTTATAACCGCTATCAAAAGAATAGACCACTCTAGGATGGCAAAGATATTTTCTGATAAAGTTACGAATGCGTCCTCGCCAACGATTTTGAAAGTTTGAGGCTAAAACTTTCAAACTGTTTCGTGACCGCACGCGCATGCGCGACCGTTCGAACAATAGCACCAAATCTAAAGCGAGGTTGTGGTGGACATTTTCATACATTTGCTGTATTTTTGTCCACCCCGACCTCGACTCTGCGCCATTGTTTGTTGGAATGTGGGGAAGGTCTATTGTTAACATATCTTATTTAGAAGAAAACTAAAATTATACCTTAATCACCAGCCACCATGCCTGTTTGACATGGCTTGTCTTTGACACGATTGGACAGAAATCTCTCTCGCAAAAAGGAAATCTACACATTCTCTTGAATGTTAATTTGTCTATCCATCACTTAAATTTTAGCGCATATTTACGAGCGTTAAGGGTTCCCGAGATCCAGCAAACGAAAAATGGTCTTCTTGGAGACACTGAGCGTATTTAAGAACATACTGTATATTAATTTCACAAGTCCGAACCAGGCATTAAGTTTAATTTATCGCCCAAAAGAATAATTATATGGAGATGTCATTTGATTTACACAGAATTTGTCGAACGTTAATAAATTAAGGCCCCGTCCACACGTATCCGGATATTTTTGAATCCGCAACTTTTCCTTTCCAGATATATATATACAGCTTCCGTCCACACGCATACGGCGAATTCGGTAGCGAATCCGAATATTTTCAAATCAGATGACGTAGCAAAATCGTGCGGTCTCTTACCGAACATTTAATTTCTTAAGGCAATCGATATTACCTTGGAAACGATAAAAAATCGTTAAAACATGAATTTTGCGCGAACCAGATGTGATATGAAAAAGCTATAACCAGTGCCTTAAACTACTAGTGTATGGCAAGTAGAATATACAAGAATAAAAAAATTCTGGATGTCATGATCAGTTGATCGCGAGTGAACCGCAACATTTCAAATCATACGTTTTGCATAATAATATGTAATCCTACAGTTGAGCACTATTTTGATGACGTTGCTTCAAATAATGCCAAAATGCGTCTTGAAGTTATGTTTCGAAACCATAAAAGTTTTGCTGGTTTTCTTTCGGCGATCTCAAAACCGAGACTTTTCCTTAAAACTCCCCCATTGTAATTTTCGGATAATTTCTGATTTTTAATACTTTTTCAGATTTCTATAAACGGCTCTTAAAACTTTGTTCTGGAGTCCATGGCCAGCATGCGGCTAAGTTTCATTGCTGCAGGAATCGGATAGTTCTTTATTTCAGTCAAACATTCATTGCAAAACGATTCATTGGCCAACAGTGATGCCAATAGAAGTCATTAATGTTTCTCCTCTGGTTACTCCTATAGCTTTGCGTCAGAAGTACGATGCATTCACTAAAGCGATAATTTTAGCTTGAAATTGAGCCAATCAAGACCAAGCCAGGTGCATTTGATAAATTCACTGCTCTTTATATTTTATCGACGTTCCTCTTGTCAGTTAATCTCGTACGCAGATCTCACACTCTGTTTGCTGTGGGAGATCTGGGTTCGAGATTAGTTTCAAGACTTCTGTATTGTTTTTGCAAACCTTCATTGGTGAACTAATCGCATGAGTACGAGAGAAAGATAACGCTGTGAACGGGACATGCTTCTTATGAATGAATTGAGTTTGTTGAACTATTTTATAAGGGAATGCAACAAATGAAAGCCTTTGCTGCGTTCACTTCTGAGAAGATAAGTGTCATTGTTTTTTCTTTTTTTTTTTTCCCGTTGAAATTGGCCCTCCCCTCCCCTTCCTCACAACACCTTGAAACAAATCTTCAAAGAAAATTGCATAGCGATATATTATAGCTTCGTTTAAAGTGCCACTATGATCAAATTCTCCATACCCATTTTTTTGCATTTTCGCACACAATAGGTCTTTCCTAGATTTTTTGCCAAATTTCAGTCTATTACGAACATTAGAACTGATGTCGTTTGGACCTTTATTTCCAAGAATTTACGGCCGCCACATATTTTCCTTGTTCCAAGTCTTGGTTGAGAATTTGAGAAAATGACGTCCTTTTCTCAAAAATACCACTCGGGTTGCAATTATAACAATTAGCACAGCAATTCGCATAAAGAGTAACAAAAACTTTGGCTCATATATTCGTGCAATATTTTACATTAATTGTTATCATAATTTCAACCCGTGCGGTATTTTTGAGAAAATGACGTCATTTTCTCAAATTTTCAACCAAGACTTGGAACAAGGAAAATTAATGGCGGCCGTACATTCTCGGAAATTAAGGTCCAAAAACCACGAGTTTTAATGTTCGTAAAAAATTGAAATTTGGCAAGATATCTAGGAAAGACCTAATGTGTACGAAAATGTAAAGAAATGGATATCGAGAATTTCATCATAGTAGCACTTTAAGAAGTCAACGAAACTAGTTTTTAACCCTACAAAGAAACAGGAAAACTTGTCACTTCAGAGACCTTGATCTCGCTTTAGCAAAATAAAGAAAAAAGGCTCAGCCCCAACCACCAGAAATGTTGTACTATGATGCCCCCCCCCCCTATGACGGCCCATAATTTGCTTGAATACAAATGCCATGTGCATTTTTACTGTAGACGTCTGATCTAGGTATTTGACTTAACACCCACTTGTATTTCCATTCGCGTTACTACATCATACGTCAAGAATGTTTTTACGTTTTGCGTTGAATATGTATTGCTGCTCCCGCTTAATACTTTATTAATTTTGCGTCGATGTTATTGCATTTTGCGACGCAACGTACCCGAGTGAAATAAGGTAAAAAATATGGTCTCTGTTTCTCTCACGGAAACACGCCCTAAATTCGAGGGCTATGTCGTGGAAAAAGGGCTCGCGTGACTTTAAGGTTAACTAGACGGTCTGAGATAAGATATACTACACACTGATTGCAGAGTGCAAAACTTTTATTAGTCCTTTTTTGGTTGCTGTTGTTGTTTGACGGTTACACTGACCAGTCAATAGCTTTTTAAAACGTTATTAAAGGCCAGGTCTCCTTCTCCGACTTCGTTCACACGTTCCACGTAAGGAGTTTACACAAGTCACGCAATGGTCCACGAGCGCGTCACGGAAATTACACGCAGCCGAGGTACCGAAGCCGTTTACATCACATGCGAACCAGTGCAAGAATGAGGAGACACAGCCTTAGTAATACCTTGCTAATAGTACACACATTTGAAAATCTTAACGCAAAACAAGCCTTGTGATAAAGTAGCTATATATATATAACACCTGCACCATTTAACTTCAAAGACTACCACTTAGAATTTAGTGTGTGCGTGTATGTTTGAAAGAAAGAAGGTAGGGAGACGGGGCCAGAAGCAAAAACAATTTCCTCGAACCTGCAAAGCACCCCCACCTCCTCCCCCTACTCTCTTTCTTTAAAGTGGTCTTCCTTGAGGTGAAAAAAATAACGCAGTATTTTCTCCTCATGCGATTGTACATGCATAATGCGATAAGTTAGTAAGTGCCGAGGTACAAATATACTGACCACTAAAGAAACGTTCCCATGAACATGGAGTTGTTGCTTTAACTGGCTACCAAAATTGGTCTGTGATGAGTCTTACAAAGACATCCATATCACTCTACCCTTTCATCTTAATTCTAACTAAACTAGTAAAATTTTAAAAGTAGCAAAAAGGTAATGAATAGAGTTAACTTATTACAGATTAATAAGTTTGCTTTGTCATCGGACCCTTAGGCAAACTGAACAGGAACATTTAAACGTCTCACAAGTAAAACGTAGGAAAAAAAAAAATCTTTGACTTTTGATATACATCCCTTATCATTAAGGTAAACTCGACTTTCTCTTTGTATCGTTAACCCCCATCTCGTTGAAATACAAAAAATTCATTAAAATGTTGCGTACACAAGAAACCACAACGTTTGTCACGTTGGCTACTGCAGTCCCTTATTTTGTTTGTTTGTTCCGGCCGAAAATAATTTAAACAAACTGGGAATGATAAACAGTCCCGAGTCAGCTTCTCAAAGGTCAGTTGCTAGGTGGTCTAACCAAACCCACGAAGACAACCGACTAACACGAGCACGTGCAGATTTCAAGTACATGTGCTTTGATCTAAGTGGTGTCACGTAAATCGTTACTGGTAAATCACGTAAAATTACACTCAAAACTGTACCCTGGTAAGGGTGCTTTTTGAACTCTGCTGCTTACTTGAGCATACAATAAGCAGCCGCACAGTTTAGCAGCTAGCTGCCTTTTCTACTTCAATCGAACCCTTTTTTTTCCTTTTTCTCGCTTTTAATTTTTTTTGTAATGTATATGTTGCCTTTTAACCTTTTTTTTCATTAATTCACGCTATTTACAGTATTACTCCTTATCTTTTTTAATATTTTTTTTGTGTGCTTTTTTGGAACTTTTGATCTTTTTTATTTGTTTTTCTCTCGTTTTTAATTTTTTTTTGAAGATATATTTTTTCTTTTTAACCATTTTTTTACTTTTTTACTTTGTTTTTTAATTTAATTTTTTTTTGCGGTTTTACATTTTTTTTTTTCCCGTTTTGGTAGTTTTATATATTTTCTGATCCTACACTACTCAGTAAACTTTTCTATAAATAATCAAGTTACGTGTTTAATGAACATCGCCCGTTTGTCTTAGTTACACGATCTCGTTCTTCTAGAGTGGAATTTCGAATTTTCGAGCCCTCTTGGGAAGAAAATGCTTTGAGCAATCCACAGGCTAGCAGAATCGAGGGTAAATTTCTCCTAACTGCTTTGCCAAGGGAGCATTGGAACAATATATAATAATAAGATTGCTTGGAATAATCAGTAATAATAAACAATAATAAAATGGGGATTTTACTGTATCGTTGAACGTCATAGAACTGAAAAAACTCAACGGAACATTTCCTTGAACATTCAGCAATGGCAGATGAATAAGCCTTTTTAAAAATATCAACTTTTCTCGTGTCAGCATAACATGCGGTAACAAGAGAAAAAGTTTTAAACAAGAAAATTAGAAAATAAAAAATTTTCCCGACATCAAGAAACGTTGGTGACGGCAGCAGACAATTTATACATGTATTTCTCCATGCAATTAATCTCATCCCAAAGAGGTGGTACATGTAGCGCTCTTAGTAATCACACATTAACAACAACGGCAAAAACATCCACAATAACAAAAACAACCACAACGACAACAACGACAACATCAACACTTGCTTATCAAAGCAAGCCGAACCCGCCACTGGTTTTGATGAGACTAAGTGTAACATCAAGATAACAATGTGGAGCTTTCTTCAGAAGAATGGCGAGTGCGTCGTCAAGATACTCTTTCGCTTGTTTCAGGTCATACAGGTCACTGTGCACAGACAGTACCCAAGTGTTGGGAAATACTTGTCAAATGAATAATCTGAAGCCCGAGGTTTTTCAAACGAATGACTAGAGCACGATCATGGCACCCTTTGGCTTGATCTTGGGCAGCCAGTAAGTGGTGTACAACACCCAGGTTACCGTAGTAAGTTCCACCATCGGCATATTCAACTCCGAACTTTCGGAGACAATTGACCAGTACACGACTACAATATTCTTAGGCTTGCGTAAGTGAACCACGTCAATGCGTACATTGTCCATGTCACTTTCCAAAGGACAAGATGTAGCTGCGACAACCTGCTTAGAGCCAAACTTTTACGGCGTACGAGCACAATATTCGTTGTCATGTTTAACGTCAACCAGCTTGATGTGTACTTAGGAGTGGTTGTACTGTATGTCATTATGACATCGATATGCTCAGGTCCGAACTTTTTCATTGCCCACAGCAAGTGAAGGGCGGAGAGAACTTCTCAGACTCGTCAACTTGGCATAAACTGCTACAGGTACTGGCTGTATCAGCAAGTGGTATAGGTGGTGATTGTAGGTCTTATGATTCCTGTTGACGCCAGTGTAGACGATCACTGAGTGGAGGGCTTGTTGGCAATAACATGCTGCTTAAACAAAAGGCATGTAGCTGAGAATCTCTTACTGGACCCTTGGAGGCTCCAGGTTTAGAAATGGCTGAATACCAACCATCTGTAGGTTGAAACGCAATGCGAAGCTAATTCTTTGCCTTGGAGTGGCGTCTTCTTCACTGAATGACGCCAGAACTTACCATTGAAACATAACTAGAGGTCAAGGCTCTTTTCACCCTCTAGTACTTTTAAGGAATTAACATTACTTGGCATGTGGAAGGAGGTGTATCCACACATGTAAACGACATGTACCAAGTGTGAATTGCACATTGATTACAAATCAGAGCTGGTGTTTCAGGGTGCTTTACAGCGTATAGTAATTAGAATTTGACAAGTCTGTGAAAACGACATTACCAAACAACACCCTGGGAAGTAAACATTGTAAATGACTTGGCCTGTAAATTTGCCTAGAAGTTGTTTGGAAGGCAATTCAAAGTAAATTATACCACGTTCTTTATGCGCGATTTCTTCTCATCACCAGTACAAAATACCCAAAGCTATACCAAACTACATGTACATATACAGTTGTACCTTCTTTGGGACAAAGTTACGACGTGAATTATCAATATGGAAACGCGTCAAATTCAATAATCTACGCTATATTACGAATAGCCAAAAACCAAAATCATAAGACAAAATTGTTGTGATTGTCAGAGACAATAACATCACATAACGAGCATAAAGTTACACGTTGAACTTATGTTGTTTTTGTATGGTCAAATCGTAAACATCGAGCACTAGGTATTTCAATATCACATGTACATACAAAATGCAACACTTCAGTGCTCAGGAGACTATAACATTATTAAAAAATCCAACCCTCACTCGCTTTAACTGTCATATAACGAGATCACTTATAATTATCGCAAATAGTAATCATTAACAATAATAATGATTGCAAATTAAGATACGCCCTTTCTAGGAATTATTTCCTTGGAATGCCAGGGTACTTTCATAGATACAAAAAATATATTAATAGTCCTGATGCTACAAAATAACATCTCTAACACAAGTGAGCTGCATTTTGGCAGAAAAAAAAGATTCAAAATAGATTAATTTTAGGTTGCTCTCAATTTATTGAGACGAGCAAACCAGACCTAAAGTATGAATGCCCATAGCCATGAAATAACTCAGCATGCAAAAGTGAGGTATGTCATAAATATTGAAAACACTATATAAGCTGATACAGGTAACTTAGGTGTTCAAAAGGCTGATAAATAATATAATTAATCAGCAAGATGATCAAAGATGACCAAGGAGCCATCCAAAATGCCCTTGCGGTAAAGGCTCAATACCCTACTATACCACTAACAGTGATTCAAATGTAGAAATTACTTGCAAGGGTAGTGTGTTAAACAATACACACTTTGAAACTCTTCTTTTTAAGAGATGCACCTCTCAATGTGCTTAAGGATGGTGTTGCTGTCCTCTCCATCAAACTTTCTCAGGCAGCGAGGGCATTCTTCCAGCCCAACCACCTTCTCATCCTCGCCATTAACACCTGCAGCGTCGGCATCATTTCCATCTGCTGGTGAGTCCACAACGTCTTCTACCATGTCGTTGTCAGGTTGGACCTCTCCTCCATGGTACATTGAGGAGGTTCTTGTTGATCTTTGGCTTGCTGGGTGTGCAATGGGCCCACGGGGAGGTAAAACTCCCTGAATGACAGCAAGGAAGAATAAAAAAATATATATGAGCCACTGAAAGGACCATAACGAATGCTGTAACATATGACAGAACCAATCTCTTGTCTAAGTGGAAAAAGGTTCCAAAGGTTTCAATTCTGCTGAGATCGTATTTTTGATTTTCAGAGTCTGTTTGCTTGGTTAGGTATTAACAATAATTATTACAACTGGATGTCATGGCATTTCAACTTCAAATTCAGTATTAAGATTTTCCTAAACAATATAGACATCATTCTTTCCAAGGCGATGATCAGGTCTGTCACTTTCAAGGTCTGCCTTTATTGTATTGAATGGTATAATTATGGCTGACTCTTACCCTGGGAACCCTTTGATAATTTTGCTGCTGCCATTCCGGGGTTGTGTACTCCAAGCCACTAAGTCCATAAGGATTGTATTGAGACTGAATACGGGAATATGGCTGAGGTCAACAACAACAACAGAAATAAAACAACTTAACAAAAATAACAACATACCTCTACATGTAACAGTAATTCATGTAAGTATAATGTAAATGAACATCTAAAAAGGTACTATCAAGTACTCCTCAAGGGTAAGTCTTGACACAAAAGTTGATCCATGATTGCTTTTGAAAATTAAGAATCGAGGTAGGTCATAAGTTTATGAACAAGTTTATAATGATAACTTCTACATGAATAACTTTACAACGTTCGGTAGGCAGTCGATAAAAATGAAGCACCTGATCATAGCAGGAAAAAAGTGTTTCAAATCAGAAGTTTCCCTGGACAACAGAAATTAGTGCAAATTCCTGCACTGAAAAAAGTAAATGGCAAGGAGAATTCAGCTGGATTAGATCGCAATAATTCTGGCACCATAACTATCAATTGAGACTTGCACACACCTGCTGTCCATAAACCTGCTGCTGTAGCTCCTGCTGACCTCTCAGCAACCTTTCCCTCTCTCGATCATGTACCTCTCGAATTGCTTGAACTCTGGCTTGCTGTTCAGCTACAGCTCTTGCCCTCTGTGCCAGTGGATCCTGGTACTGATACATCCCCTATCAAGAACAGAATGGTATGAACACCTCTGCACACTATACATTACAAGATAGGGGTGGGAACAAGGGGAATGCACAGGAAGCTAAGTGTACAGGTTCTGGGTACTTCCTCTTGACTTGTTTTTCACTTGTGAGATGTCTATACTCATTATTTTCTCTCACTAAGAGTCTTGTCACCAGAAAAAACTCGTAATTTTTGTATCTCCACAGTGTTACTGAACTAAATGTACAGGTATCGTCTAGTGTTTTTTTATGTACATGTAGGGCATAATTTTGTCTCATATATGTTGCATCAGGCACCAAGTTAATAAAACATAGCACAATGTAAAGGCCAAAAGGACTAATTATCAGGATGCATATGGGACTTTACACTAAACGTATACTCAAAACAGGACTTGTTGTCAACATCTCACCAGAGCGGTGTTCAGTTATGCTTTGTATTGTACTGGTCACATGGCATTTTAATGTACAAGTACACTTTGCCTTGTGACCAGTACAAGATTACTGAAGACAGCTGGGGATATGCCATCTAGAGTCAGAAAAAACATCTACAGTGCGCCTGCCCAAACCTACACATACATATACATGACTGTAATTCTAAACAAGTGAAAGAAATTCTATACTACCCTGAGTTCATTGGCTACATTTCTACCGTTTTGTACATGTATGATGACTTGCATAGCGCTCATTACTATATTTTGTACCAAGCTGATTACATGCAAAATTAATAGCACTAATTTTGTGACTTACTCCACTATTTTTGGCCCTCAGTTGTTGCTGTAAACTCTCTTTCTCTCTCTTCTCTCTTTTGAAGTCTTCTTCATATATTTGGAGCTGTGTGAAGACAGTAAACACCATATACAGTTAGTAATTTACATCAGAACCATGTTATTCCCCAAATGTTAACCTTGGTTTCCATTAACACTCCATCCCCTGGAAGGGCACAGGGTATACAACATACATGCACATGAACAAGGACCTTTAATTACTATTATTTGTATGTACATGTAAAGAACACAGGCATGTGTACTTTGTAAGTGCCACAGGATGGAAATATTATCCCCAATAAAGAATTGAACCACACCATACACAGAAGTCAAGAATGAAAATAACACAAAGTAGGAAAAAACAAGAGGTTTGTCCATATCATCAGACCCTGATGGTTAAGAAACTGCACTGCATGCAATTATTAACTATCATTATTCGAAATTAAGTAGCATGCAAATATGATTATTTAACCCAATTACACAGCAACAAAATTAATAGTTAGGAAATCGATTTACATGTACTGCAGGAAACCAAGTTTAACAATGGGAATTGCCACTTAACATTTTTCCACAGAACGTTTTTTTTAAGTGTTTTTTCTCTGGTAAAATGGGACAAAATTCCAAACATTTATCTGTTTTCTAGGTATACATGTAGACAATTGCGTGATTCAACTTTTCTCAACTTATTTTTAACACTGAATGTTTGAATTTTGTATTATTTTCAATTACTGTCAGTTACAAAATGATTTGATATCATGTGTGTTAATTTGCAGGCCAGAAAGGGGCACCCTAAAAAATAATTTGGAAGAAGCAAAATAATGCTGGAGCGATTCTTAAATGACCTTTTATGCTTCACTTAGCCGGCTTTTTTTCACGTGTCATACATGTATATCAGTGTCTCCACAAATTAATTAGATCTTTCACCAAGTTCAAAAATTCCATAACATTGTATTGATGTAAAATTGAGTATACATGTATAACAAGAACCTGCAAAACAATGTACAGAATTTTGCCCAAATAACAATTTTAAAATAATTTATAACACACATAGCACTAAGTCTCTCAGTTCTCCCATTTGGTAATGAGATTATGGAGAACTTTAATTGCGACATTTACCACCATGAAACATGCTGGCCACCTGTGCTCCTTACACTCAGTGATCATGTTTACGTACTCTATCCACAGTTCCACACGGGAACCTACCCTACGGATGAGGGAGCGCACAGCAGCCAAAGGGGCTGGTCCAAGAGGACATGCCGAGCTACTGACAGTTGTGGATCAGGTGGCACTCAACAATGACCGACTGAGGAAATAATTCATATGCATGTGCATGTACATCAGAGTAAAATCATACTTAACATCTGGAATAAATGTCATCACGGATTGTTTGCAACAACTTAATTGTGTTTGGTGCAACCTCAATTGATATGATCCCTCAAACAATCACCAGTGACATTTGGCTCATTCTAGTCTTTAGAGAAGATTCAAGTCCCATGTTTCTTTTTACCAGCTTGTGTTCATGAGTTGTTCACATTGTACAAGCAAACAAAATTTAATTGTTACATTTACAAATTGAAAATACTGTTCAAATGCCTTATATAGGAACAGTGAAAATCTCACAAACACATCCTGGTAAACACAGGTGTCATAATTTGAAGCAATATGCCACCAACCTTGAGATGATGACAGAAATTTTCTGACATTTGCAAATTTTACTCAATACTTATTAAATTTCACTTTGCGTTCTATTTCTTCATGCTACGTTGTAATGTAGGTATCCTGTTTGATATAGAAAATGTCACTGAGGTTGCATCTGCATCCGAAGTACATTTCAATGTTTTTTTTTTTTTTTTGCTTTTTTGGATCTGCTTTTGATTCTTTTCTTTCCCATCAAAAAATTAAGGTGTGGGATAAAGAAAGTCCAAAGTTACTTTTAGGCCAGTGTGCATGGAAAGACATTTTAGGCAAAATGATGGCCAGAAAACAATTATCCAAAAGTGACCTTGAACATTCTTAACCCGCCTTGTTTAATGTATGTTAACCACAAACCACACCTGCTGCTCCAGGGTCTGCAACTGTTCCTTAACTGCATCTAATTCTTCCCTTAGTTTTTCCTTCTCTGCCTGATTCCTCTCACGATCTTCTCTCTCAGTGGCAAAATCATCAGCATACACTCTAAGCTGCTGTTTCAGCACCTCAATCTGGTCAATAAGCTCAGCAGGAATCTGTTGCCCATAGGCTGTGGTACCAGGCCAGGAGGGCAAACTTTGAGTAGGCGTACTTGGACGAGGGGCAGCAGCCCCAAGTAGGGACAGATGGGACAGGGGCTGCTCCATGGATGTGTTCTGAGGAGCTGGAGGCTGTTGGTACTGCAAAGGATCAGGGGAAAAATCATCAGCTGTTACCGTAGGCAGGGGTCCAATGACATTAAGATAGGACCACTATAACTGACTTTAATACTGTACATGACATTGTTGTACTAATGAGCTCAGTAGTATGGTATATGAAGATCAGTTTACCATGATTAACATGTATTCTATGTAATTATTATGTCTTTGATACAGGTAGGTGCTGTGACTGGTTAGCATGCTGGACTGTGGACCAAGAGCTCTGAATGCAAGTCCTGGCTATATAGTCATTTCATTGTGTTCTTGGGTAAGATACTTTACTCCCGAAGTGCTCCTCTCCACCCAGGTGCAGAAATGGTACCATCAAATGGGCACTGTCAAAACCCTCCCCCATCCAGGGAGGTGGTGGTAAGGTAGAAATACTCCCAGTTGTTTCATGCGACAAAATTGGACCACTTGGTCCAATACAAACTTAACCTTAAATGAAGGACACTGTTCATTTAAGAACTGTCATCAAGCTCACATACTATACCTTGAGTGCAGACTGGTTGCGCATCGACAGCTGCATGCGATTAATTTCAAGCTGTTTCTGTTGTAATTCACTTTCCAGCTGTTTGCAATGGTCATCCAATGCCTAGAACATTCAAATCATTCAATGAGGGAACATAAACATTATGTGTGTCTGACTTTTAATGAATAACGTACAAAAGCAGTTTTCTTCCTCTAAAACATAGTACAAGCTCAATAAAATAACTCAGATCACATACTTTGGAAAATTTATCACTTTATCTGCAACGAAAATACCACTGAGTAGATACAATTTCGTTTTTTTATCGCACCCATATCAGAAGGCCTGCGTAGATGACTTTTGCTGATATTTCATGGAAACCATCATTTTAGTAAATACATGTACACACCTTAATTTTCTCCATGATCTCTGGATTCCTTTGATTGTCAACAGATTTTAACATTTCAATTTGGTTCTTGAGATCAGCAATTTCCTTGTTTGAAGCAGAGGAAAGCAGTTTGTACTGTTCATCCCATTTGTGATTCACATCAAGTATCTAGAAAGAAAAATAAACAAAACATGAATAAAATGAAGTTTCTACTGAACCTCTGTCCATCAACACATTAAATGTACACTGTACATAGACATTGAAGGTGTCTATGCCACTTTAATAATAACTATTAATTGTTATTATAATATGACATAATTTTATTATGCAACGGTAACCATACTTTTTCTCTCAGACCACTAATGCTAGTAACATCTGTGCAGCATCTTATTTAAACAAATATCCTAGTAAGCCTCCAAGGTAGTCACGAACAGTGTATTGAAGTCTACTTGTGAAGTCATGAAAAGTTTTGCATCAACCGTAATAAGTTTAACTATTGCAGATAAAGGAAGTTCACATGAAAATTTTCCATTCAATTGATTTTTTTATTTTTACTGCTGTCAGATAATGAGTTACTTTTGTCAGAAATGTAAAAAAATTGGGGGTCACCGACTTTGTTTCAGAGATAAAGCATGCAGAAAACTATCCTGATTTTGAAAACTAGGTACACCTAATTCAGCATGGTCTACAGGGTTTTATAGTTAAAAATAAAAATATCAAAGGAAAGTCAATGGAGGCAAACGATCTTAGTCATATTTTGTAGAAGTGGGTCTGTTGCATAAATAATTCCAAATGTTACCAACCTTTTCACAAAACTTAACCCTTCAAGGCGCATTTGAAACTGTCGCACAGATAAATGAAGAGCTAAAAAGAATGGCATTTGATGATGCATTTTGCAAAAAAATTCAAACTTCTTGTTGATAGATTTTCTTCATTTTTTCGCTAAACGTAGGAAATTGGTAGAGAAAATGATCCATCAAAAGAAAAACAGGGGTCACTGAAAGTCCAAGATTGTTAAATCCAGGCAAAGCTATAACAAAGGCCATCTGCCCTATCATTGTTCATTTTATTACTTAACACACGCTCTGATGCATGACGTGGCATGTGAATTTGCGTATGCAGTAAGGATGCGCAGAAACAATTAGTACGAAGGTCCTTAAATTCCTCGCTACACAAATGCAGCCCAACATTTCTACAGGTAAAGTCAGTTTGAATAGGGCCTAGCCCTTATAGTTTTTGAAAGCCCTGCAACAGCGCTTTTCAGAACCATGATTTACCTCTTCCTTAAGTTTCAGTGCCTCATCCTTTTCTGCTTTAACCAATAGTAGTTGCCTCTGAAGTTCAGCGAGCTGTCGCTGATACTGACCACAGGTTTCACAAGCTTCTGATCCAGTCCGGGAAAGTGGAGTCTTTACAACAATTGACTGAATTTCAATCGCAAATAAGTAAAACTTACATGTTGCAAACCCAATTTGATATATATACTTAAAAAACAGCCCTAAGAAAATATACATGCTGGTTGGTTAAAAATCGTGTTTCTATAACTTGATGGAAGCACAGATCTAGCAAGAGCTGTTGACGTAATGATGGCGCGAGCAAAGACAATTTGCACTTTAATAATCAAAGTTAACAAGCTGTTTTTTTTGGTTTTTTCATCGCCGTGTTTTCTAAAGGAAATAGGAAATATGTTCTCCGTGTTTCTATCGAGTTATAGAAACACTCGTGAAAGTTTGGGAGAACTCGAAAAAGCTGTGGAAACACTCGCCTATGGCTCGTGTTCCCACAGCATTTCTCGTTCTCCCAAACTTCCACTCGTGTTTTTATAACTTGATAGAAACACGGTACATGTTTTCTATTTCTTAAATGTAGCAATTAAATTAATTTGTAAGAATAAATGACACTGTCTTGTGTATTGATTTACCCAAGAGGATATAGCTAATTAAATATTAAAAACACTGTCTAATACACACAATGTAATCGAATATTTGAAAGTTTCAAAGGAGATCACCCCAGCCCATCAGACTCCTGCATAGCTCACAGCATGTACTGTACAGTCAGTAACTATTAACTCTACGTAGATTAACTGTTAAATTAAATATCAGATCACTTTTTTTTGCTTGGGCTGATTTGTTAGGGCTCCAGATGGCATTTATGATGGTGCACAAATGCATGACAAATGGCAAAACAGTAACCTCTATGCTTGTTTGTCTTGGCCAGATTTTTTTGCCCTACCACCTTCAAATGGTCTCTGCGGATGAAGGTACATGCGTGCTAACCACTGCACTGTACCACCTCAACTGTCAAAGGAAACCATTAAATCATTAAATGCATATTTTTACCTCATCGGATGTTGATCTGGTTGTACTTGTCTCTGAACCAATTGACAGTGGCTCATTATGGGCTACTGCAGCAAGTTCTTGTTCTCTTTTCACGTGAACAGTTTCTTCAAAGAACTTTACTTCACCTTGAATTTCCTCAATTTCTTCCCTGCTTCTACCTATCTTGTCCTTTAGCTGTTGCACCACATTTTCATGAGAAGCCTAAAATGTTTATTGAATTGATAAATCATCTATTTTAATTAAGACAAATAATCTGGTTTAATAAATTTATACAATTTGGATTGCTTTTCATTGTTAGTAGTAAAATTTTTATTATTATTATTTTTAACTAGTTTACATTTTATCTTTTCTTGAGGAAAAAAAAAGGTCATGATGAGTCAAAGAAAAAACTAAAACAAAAACTTAGTACATGAATAAATGTTTGACCTGATACTGTAAAATTCTGCGATGTACAACTGAAGTAGCTGGAACAGATTTTTAGCTAATACAACAAACCTGTTCTGCCTCCATTGCAATCAGTTTTGTCTTTAACTTCTCCTCCTCAGAAAGCAATGCACTAGATAGGGTCTCCCTTGTTCGTGCCTCTTTAACATACTCATTGAGTTTAGAATTCAGTCTTGTGAGCTTTCCTTGCAACTCGGTGTCTCTGTCACTGCCTGGTAACCTTTCGATATTCTCACGGAGGTTCTGTGCATTTCTCATAAGATGATCAAGCTCCGATGTGATGTGTTGAAACTCGGCTTGTATCTCCTTTTGAAACACAACAATTGTATGCACTTCAAAAAAACATGTCCTGAATCAATGAATAAACCCCACAATCAAGTGTGTACAGGCAGCACCATCCAGATCATGGTTGAGCTCATCCTGAAGCCAATCAGTGGTGATTCACTTACATTATATACGTTTGTTACCACAACATCTTGTATGTCTTGGCATAAAAGGCAGTTGTCATATAGCACAACACCTTTGATCAGCTGACAGCTGGCACATCAAATGACTTTGAATGCTTTCCTTGCAAATATTTGTGTCGTTTATATATATCACTGTAACTTGTACATGTAAATGTACAAACTTTCCATGTTCATTGCATGCCCTCCGATGTTGTTTCGTCCTTTTCATTTCTTTATTTTCTCAAACATAGTTCAGTTGTCTGGTTTTTTTTTTCCTTAATTTTTTTTTTTTTTTTTCAGGGGGGAGGGAGGAGAGAGCCTCATTTNGTTTTTTATTTTTTTTTTTTCTTAATTTTTTTTTATCTTGCCTTCTTTATTAGAGACTTACCATTTTACCGTCTGAAGACAAAGTAGTGCCTTTACTTTTGTGATTACTTTTTATATTCTTCTATGTACACTTTTGCTTTACTCTGCTGTGTTATATTGGTTCATTGTTTCGTTTTCGTTTTACTTTCATAAAGGTTCACACCAAGTTGAAAAATACTTTATACAAATATTAAATACTTCATGTACTGGCTGCATTAAAAGAAGCGGTAAACTCTCAATCATACATGTTCATGTACCACTACTATACTGAATGTACCTTAATGTGAAAATCTCCAGGCAACAATGATGGAAAACCTGAAGATAATGACTGAGGTTCAGACACTGTTGTGACGTTAACATAGTCATGATTATCAGTGCTTCTCCCAATGGACAGATGATATCTGTCGCCCTGCTCAGCTGTAGTACTTTGGCTGTCATCGTTGATAGAGGTGCAGACTGAAAGATCAGCCAGTGCTGAATCAATGCCTTTCTGAGCCAAGTCAGATTTCAACTTCTGGACTTCTTTTTGGAGTCTGGCATTGCTTTCCTGTGAATCTTGAAGAACTTTGCCTTAAAATATGAACAGAGTTGACCAGCAAGTGACAACATTGATAAAATAGCTAATCATGTTTATTTACTAAATCTTGTAAATCTAGTTAAAGACTGAAAAAATAAACAAAACAAAAAGAAAACCCCGTAAAACAAGCAACCAAAATGATATAAATGATAACTAATAAAAAATAAATAAATACAAAACTGGTGAGGTCTAAAAAAGCGAGGTGTACATACATATTAGTTCACTTCAGTTGGTTTATGCTTGTGACCATGACTAAAGTGATCCCAAAGGGCACATTAAAATTTAATTATAATATAAACAAGCTTCAGCCTATGTTATCACTGGCACCCTTGTTTATACATACAGATGAATCTGGCTTGGCTTAAACTTGAAAACATTTGTGGACATGTGAAAGACACGTGAAAGGGCTCTGAGATTAGGCATACATGAAATCACAAGACGTAATTAACACTAAATAATTAGCACAGTGCCCTATAGGAGGTCTGTTTCAATCATGCTGAAAACAATTCTTACTGGATATGGCTCACACGAGGCATGCAACATTAACTCTTCTTGACAAACAGTTAGAAGCAGTTAATTATATAGAGTTCTTCACATGAAAATCAACATTTCTCTAGCTCCAACTGAAAATTTATAATTTTCTTTTTCAAAGAATGGTCCATGAGCGCTTAGCACCATTGTAATATTGTACATATCAAGTGAACACAACCAATGTTATGACTACACTATGATGTAACTGAATTGTATCTCAGAACAAATTTGCCAAGATGGACCCTGTGATGTGGCACTAAACCGTAAATATTCATAGTCTTATGCTTATGGAATTGTGCTGTTGAAATGCTCGGAGACATTAGCTGTTAAAGCTACTCTACAATCCGAGGGTAAATAAAGTACACCACTACATACTATACAACTTATGTTTAGGTGAAAACCTTTTTTGAGCTGACTTCACATACCTAGAACTTGAACACCTTGTGCTCGAATATGAAGAACTTTGTTGTCTTGTTGCAATTGCTCAATCTCTCTTTGCAATTTTGTAACTTCATCTGAACTGTTCAGATGCTCAGATGAATCCCGACATTTTGCACTCATCGTAAACACTCGCAAATTGAATCTGCTTTGTTGTGATCCTCAAAATTTTACTAATGATTGTTGCAGACCTGAAAAATACAATTGACAAGTTTAATTTGGCCAAAGGAGAAAAATGGTCAAGGATTTCCACAGTGTTTAATCTGCTTTGCCTCTAGCTTCCTGAGAGAAAAACCATTTTCAGCCCTTACTTGTCTTTCAATGGTCATAAGCGAAGTATTTCCACCCAAATTACACTGTATGTTAACATCAAAGAAGTTCCCATGGGAAAGTTACATCGTGAAACAACTTAATAATTCCCAAACAGAAATAAATGTTCAATGCGTTGAAAGCAGGAAGAGGTAAGAATAAAAGCATGTCCCGTTACAAAATATAGGGTATTGTCATGCAACAAACATCCATTGCCGAGTCAACTGCGTGAGATTCGTGAATTATAACAAAAGCGTTTATTTTGCGAAAATTTTGCGAAAAGTAAGCTAACTAGCTATTTCTTGCACAGTTACAATAGGGCATAAACAGGAACACGAAAGCGAAGGGGAAAATGTGCTCACAGAATCAAAAACAAAGAAGAGAGAAATAAGCTAAAGATTTAATGTCGCGCCACTCAACAAAGAAGACTGCATGCAGTTCGCAGTTTAATTACGCTTATGTGCAAAAATACATATTCTACCAAAGGAAGGATAAAGAAGATCACTAAACAGACAAGAAAAGGGGACACGACAAGTTTCGACGTGACGGGAACTTTTAAAACAACGAGGGAAAAACCCTATCCAAAACAGATCCAGACGTGTCACTATTCAAATCAGTCCTACACGCAATATCAAAGACATACTTTGAAGATTAGGTAAGGAATAAATATAAAATCACCAAATTCCGACACGTAGAAACGAACTTGCTCCAAAAAAAAAAAAAAGCCCGAACAAGGGAAAACACTACCTGTGAACAGCAGCACCACAGTTCCTCAGCTAACGCGCGGGAGGTCCACCAGTTTCAAAAGACATCGCGATTTCACTGATTTCATAAAGCATGGTGACTAATTCAAATTTCCCATATATAATGGCAAGTATGTATCCAGGATTTAACTGGCTTTTCATTTGAAGTCTGTATTGATACATAAATACTTTCAAAAGAGCTAAAACACGGCTTCAAATTAGCTAAATGACTCCCCTGCGCAAGTAACACTACATCTTAAAACAAAATGGCGGATGGAAAAGAAAGTCCTTCCGACCCTTCGACTAGGGGATTCCCCGAAATTATATTACGCCCTGTCTGATTGGCTGATTTAAATACCAAGCATTTGATTGGACCTTGATTGGACCAATTGGACCTGGATGATTATGGAATCACGTAGACTTTGTACTCTGTACTAAGTGCGGAGAACTGTTTTCGCGGCCGTCCCTCCGCCACACCTCCAAAATAATATTGCTTCAGTTTGATATTTCCAGCAAAATCGCTGTTTTATGGAATGACGGATCAAACAAAGAGGATGCTGATGTAAATGCAACAACGTCGTTTTAACAACTTGGCATTAGCGTTCGCCGATGGACAGTATAGCACGATCAAGCAAAGAAACGTCAAACAGTTTTCGCTACAACCCAAGGAAACATCGCTTAACTATTTTTCGACGACTATGATCATGAGCAGAACTCGAGACTTTGGAGAAAGCAAAACGATCAACTTGAAGCCGTCTGTGTGAGGACTCTGCGTGAGCACTGGTGATTTCCAAAAAGCTAGTGAAAGCCTACCGGTGAGTTATACACACTGATCATGAGACTTAAGTGTCAATGTTCGAATGTCAATTTTAAAATGCTGTGGATAAATAACCCGGCAGCCAACGTTTCCGACCGGCAGTCTGAAATTTTTCAAAAATTTAGAGAATCGAAGGACCCAATCTAATCCAAACTATCTTATGTTGATTAAGAAGTACCAAGCGATCCAGAGCCTTACAGACTTAAGTCCAACGCTTTGTTTACGAGCAAAAGATATTGCGTGACAGGTCTTCGGCTTGACTGAGAATATGTGCATAATTATGCTATAGTACTTCAGCCCGGGAAAAACATTTCTTGTTATTCGCAGTGCAAGCTCTACGAGATACACTACAGTGGATATACCATAACACTTGGATCAACTCGACAGTCGAGCTGTGACAGTTGCATATTAGAAACTGTTGTGGGTGATCGATTCCAGTGCGCTGTAGGTAGAGGGATTTCTGCATCTTGGATTACAAGCAATTTATTATCTGGGCAGTGTATGTGAACAAAATCGAGAAATTGCTTGAAATCTAACCACCACTGCTACATCCTGGTTGTTATGGGAAGTTAGTGACGATGTATCGAATACTGTAGACAAGCTCAAGCCTGCATTAGTTTAGAAGCTAATACTCCAGCAACTCCTGGGCCCAGATTCGTGGGCGGATTCGTAAAAGCGGAAGAAAGTCTCTTTCAATGCAAGTAGTTTGAAAGCGGAACTCAAAATAGCTTTTGGAAATGTAGAAATCTAACCTGCATTCTCCACTTGTGTAGTGCTATCTGACAGCTTTTGATCTGGCTGTGTTGACAATGATACGGAGAGGCAGCAAGACGAGAAAGCGAAACAAGCGAATCGAAAGTGCTTTGGTTGCATAATGACAAATGCGTTGTGTGACAAAAATTCAGGGCCAGGACCCAAAATGCAGCTGCCGCCCTCTCTAATGACGAGAACAACTGAGCTTTTAAAACAGTCAGAAAGTCTGTAAGTCAAGCCTCGGGCAAGTTCTCATTCTCCACTATTGAAGCCATCGCATGCACAGAATGAAACAGTACTAATTTAGTAAGATCACACAAGACCATACCGAAGTTTCCACCATCTGAACTGGTAGGCATTAAAACTTTCCGAGAAGAAGTAGTGAGTCTTCCTGGTAACCTTACTCGCGATAATCTTCTTCTAAAACGAACGAAACAGCTTACTTTCCGAGAAAAATAGCTTCCAAACGAAAAACAGTACTTTTGCATTGATACTTGTATGGCAAACAAAGGAATGGCGCGCACCGAGTCTACGATCTATCAATGCGGTGGAGAGCTAGAATTTCCAGATTTTACTAACCAATTTTCTGGTCAAAGGAGTGAGCCTGTGAAGGGAAAAATATGTATGGTAGATCAATTGCAACTCAGTCGCCAACCGCTGACCCACGAACGTGCCGATGACCCCGTCCACAGACTAAGGGAAATTAGGGATATCGACAGGCAGTTTCATCTTCCGGGTTTCCTCGGCGGTCATATTTAAAAGCTTGCCTCGTAGCTACAGGTAAAAGAATTTTCTCCTAACGAGCCATCGATTTTGAAAATCACCGCTGAAAACAGTCCTGCAACGAAGTTGTTCCACAGGATGCAAGCATCAATGTGGGGCTAAAAAAACTCAAGCATCATATGGCGAACGGTAACTAAGTTAAGAGAGGAATATAACCGAAGCGTACATGTTCTTGCTGAGTGCCTGAAGAGAAATTGGTGGCCTCCTGGATTTTGGTGAGTTTGATAGAGATGCCTTCCAAATAAATTAACGAGGAATAACGATGAATGTTTGAACAACAATGTGAACATCCCTAAACGAGACATGTAAGGAGGCGCACATGGAATTTAACCAGACCAGGAAATTGACTGACTACACACATTTGAATTCAGTTAATGCTTCCAGAACCTCTTTGCTAGGCAAGCAGCAAAGTAGGACTTCAGTTCATGAGAAGGTCTAAAGTCCAGTAGATAAATTTTCAGTGATTGCCACGTCTCAAGTCCTTCTGGATATGTTTTATTTTCCGAGAACAACACTGGATGAAATAGCAAAGGATTGGTCTCTTTAAAACTGTACACTAAGCCATCGCACACTTCATAAAGAAGTTTTCAGAGTTATTAGCTAAGTTATATAGCTCGTGACTGCATCAATAAGAATGCAACAGACGTGAAACAATGATACAGTATTTGAAATAAATTAACTCACCTTTCACTGGAAAAATCATTTGTTGACTGAGTAAGAAGGTCGAATAATGTTACCAGGAAAACAGGGAAATACATGAAGTAATGTTTAATGCAAGATTCAGTGGGGTTTTCCCGAACACTGAAAGACGTCAGATACTAAAATTGAGCAGGTACTTATTCCGTCGAAATGTTTTGTGTCAGTAGTTATCAACTGAAGACTGAACAAGACAACAAGGATTAAATAGAATTCTAGAAAGAAAACGATAATAAGTTTATTCGAGTTTGAGTTAGTTGGGCCTGAGAAATACAGTTACGTTATCGATAGCAACTTATGTACTGTCAAACTAATTACAAGGAACCAATTTCTTCGCGTATTTTCACGCTATGGTTTGGAATGAGGAACTAGTTGACAAACCACGTGATCTCTCAATTTTGATTGGGTCATAGAAGACTGCCAAACTACGTAAACTGTATTAGTGATCACCACTCGAGAAATCTCAGACAGTGGCTGATCAAAAAAATCTGAAACTACGGAAATGCGCCTGGAATTAACAGTAAGAATGTGACATGAAACGCCTTAACAGCAAACTTGCTATAAGCCAACTAAATCAACCTCCATTTTAGCTCTTTTTCTAAATTAACCTGATGTTTCGAGTGTGTTTACTGTTTGTCATTAAGCAGACTACACGGAGTTGTGAAAAGTGAAGAACAAATCACACCCTTGACAGTGGATTGACACAAAATTAAATAATAGAAAAGCATTTAAATACAAACGAATATGCTCACTAAAGCGTTCATAGGTAATGTCAGGAAATTATGTAGTTTATATATATATAAACTTTCACGTGTTTATTTGGAAGATATGTAATATATCCTGGCGAATCGAATTAGGGAAAAAAAGCCCGCACGGAATTACCTTGATCAACAAGAATAAAAGTTCCGGTGCTTCTTAGAAGTGTCGTTAATCTCTGTCAAGTATACTAAGAAAGCCATTACTTTCAATTTGCACTTGCCGTCCCTTTCCAAAAGAGATCGGTAGTGGTAGGGTTATTTTGTACGTTGTAAGCTAAGGAAGCCACGTTGAGTGTGGTTGTAACCTGAGTTAACGACAGATCACACCCTAGACAATTCGAGACCAGCAGTAAAAAGAAAGATAAGGTTTACGCTGGACGATGACATGACATGACAGACATGACGCACACAATATCTAAAAGGATTTTAATGACCAATGTATCCTAACTTAGCATTTATAGCGAACAAGGAAATAACTTGAAACGCTTGCACGTGGGAAAAAAAATGTATTCACGAGGGCCAGCCAATCACAAGATAGATAAAGATCCCAACGAACCAATCAAAACGCCAAGCCAAAACATGAAACTGACCAAAAGCAAAAGCTGCTAACTTCATAGAAAAGTAGGCACGCGAGGCGTGCAAGGGTAATTTTTGGGGTGTGAATTAAAAGCCTTCCAGTAGACTTTTAACAGTAATGGTTAGTTTAATCCAAGTTTGTTTGATTGCAATAAACAGCAAAAATAGAAACAAATTGGAAAGGTATGGCGTACATACAATCTTACACAAGTAATGTTTAAGATAAGCGGGAGGTAAAGGAAAGATCATTGGCTGGCCAGTTAAAAGTTTTGGGAAAAAGATACAATAAGACAAGAACTTTTCAATTTAACGTGACATCAAGCCTAAATATATTTCCAGCACAGAAACGGAGACGCTGCTTGAAATGTAAGTTTTGTGGCATAACAATTGTTATCATTTTATCTTTTTTTTTTTTTTTGTTCATTTGTTGCTTTTTCTTTGAAAGTCATCGATACAAATGCTCGTTACTTGCAGCGTCACACAACGCTGAACGTTAATTTGTGGCTACTAACATTGCGTCGAACCCCAAAAGAAACAATCGATACTTATAATTATGCGAAAACTCTCGCCAGCAGCCACTTCTTATAAGTGGTTACGATCTTTATGCTTTCGCGTATTTTACATTTATTATTACTATATTTTTTGGATTTAAGCTAGCGGTTTAAGTCCTCATGATCAGAATAAGCTTCCCCAAAAGTCAATTTTTTGCAGCGTCCTAGACATAATCAGCTGCGAATACCTGACACCTTGAATCAGACGACGATAGCACGTTTATATGCATAGCCACGACTTAATTTACCGATCGCTGCCATCAGCTGAAACGCTGTGGATTTGATATGAGTATAGCATTTATAGCGAAATCTTCAGTTATCGGTGACATTTTATAGTTTGAACCAAGAAACAATTGTTGCGAACTATATGCCAAGGCGGAAATAACCTAGCTTACGCAAGGAAGAATATCATCACTGCATCAAACCAACCTGTACGTAGATTCTGTGCTTGCTGTGGGCTCTCGCTCCTAATTTTCATGCAGAAAATTACGTTTAAAATTGCAGGAATAGGGAAAGAAGAAAAAAAAAGCTTAAATCGGCATTTCTGGTGAAAATGAGCTTTCCAAGAAAAGACAACACCACGTGATTTCCGGGATTCCTTAGAAATCTTTATTATTTATAACTCATTGCAAACAACCAATAGGAATCAAACGCTTGGCTATGGTTAACTGCGTTGACGACGGTGAAAAATTCAATGACACTAGCGATTTTATTTCCTTCGAAACTTGAAACGGTTTGAAGCAAAGATGAGCAAGACTTGAACAAGAAAAAGTTACAAAAGAGCATTGTTAAACCAAATTAGGAGCTGATAAGCTAGGTGCGATGACAACTTTTGTATTCTCCATGGAGAAGTAGCGAACTTGAAGGATTGAAAAGGAAGATCGCGAAAATTTGAGGCGTTTAAAATCGGCAGCATTATATTGCCTAGAGTTACTCGCCATAAACAGTTGACCAAAAGAAACTGAAGAAGAGGACAATTTTGAGCAAATTGCGCGAGCGTAGTGCGTTTGATCGCTATGGGCAAGCAGCGAACAAGCTTGGCTTTCGGGCCAAGATAAACAGCTGCATGAAAAACCCGTTTCTTTGACATCATTTCAATTAATGTCAAGTTGGTAGAAATGATTTGATGAAACTCAGTTGACTTATCATGAAAGCTAGGACTCTCGACGTGTTAATCTCATAATCGTACCGCTTAGATGCGATGAAACAAAACGTAACGTAACACTTGCAGTCTCGAAGGTGAAAATTAAATTTAATTAGCGTTTAACTCCGGTAATAGCTAGAACATCTTGGCCTACAAACACTATGTTACGCGGTCTCTGCAAACTCCAATGCGTTTAATAATAGTGACACTGACACTATTGACATGTACTTATTGTCCTTGCAGTTTTCTGTTTTTATCCTCCAGCTGAGTTCAGTTGGGTTATGTCCGCGTAGCTTCTGACTTTAAAAAAAAAAGTGAAGCCTTGGAGCTGACTGGCTCCGACTGGCGCCTAACTTACCAGTGTTAAAATCATTGCATAGCTGATATCTGCACCATCACAGAATAAGTTTAAATTATCCTACGTCAATGCAGAATGATACAGGTTTCCAGCGGTGTTGTTCTTCCAAGGATGCAATGAGGCAAGCAGAATGGAAAAGCACCGGAAACTGCAATATTGCCAGCATACCTGAATTTAAGGCACGCGTATACAGTAATGAGAAAGGAATTTACTTGTTCAAACAAGTTCGCAAACTTTCAAAACTTAGTGCGTTTTCGATGAAAAGAGTTTAAAGTCATAACACTGTCTTGCTTACTGTAACAATAATATTCACTTGCATTCTTCACCATCTACGGGTATATTACGAACTCACCAGCTCTCAGATGGCTTGATAGCTCAGTTGGTAGAGCACTGCATCGGTATCGCAGAGGCCATGGGTTCGAATCCCGTTCAGGCCTGAATGTTTGCGAAAAGTTATGACACCATTATGAGTATGCTAACAGAGTTGCTAATAAAAAAGATTTAAAATTACTTCCTCTCTAATTAACCTTTATCTATATAAATGACCTATCACATCTTTTTATCCTTTTTTGGTCATTCGTCAGAAATATTTGCAGCTGACACTGGAATGAAACTTCTAACAAACAGTGCATGAATATGAACAGATTAAAAACGCAACCGCGTTCCCCCGTTTTAATCAATAGCGTGTTCAGAAAACTGGTCGAAGAAACGATCGACTTTTTCATGTCACTTAGTTAGACTCGTACTTGTTATCTCGAAAGCCTTCAAAAACTATACATGTAACTATATTTCAAACTATTTATAGGATTGTAGGGATTTCCCCTAAAATATAGATCGTGTCAGAATGCAATGTTAATATTTCTATGCTAATAGGACACCTTTAAATGGAGTCTATGATTGCTTCGAACCCTGTAGGAACTACAAAAATAGGTCGCGATTCACACTTTCGAACATGATGTGATTAAATGATGATTACAGACAGGAAATTGCAAAGTTGCGCATAACGGTTAACAAGGCTGGCACGAAGAGCAGACGAGCTAAAACAGATCGACTTCAAGTTGACATTTCGAAATCGTTCCTCCAATAGGAGACTCGCAGAACACTCTTTCACTTGGGTTTCTGTATTAAAATGACTTCATGTAAGAACAATTCAATTAACATACGCTTCAAGTCACAACGAAGGCAATCCTGGTCAGGACTCTGTCACCGTCTCTTTGAACAGGTCTGGGAGCCGTAAACATTTTTTTTCATATATTACACCATGTTGGGTACTGACAGAGTAAATATAACAGTTTGTAAGGGAATGTAACGATTGTTTATAACAATTCGAAATATGAAAAGAAACTCAATAAGAACAACTTACTTCGACTCTGTTACTTACGTCTGTTACTTACGTTTCCGTAGCGTTTTGTGGCCGTTTCAAAGCGATTCCAGCGAAACAAAAAACAAAACCATAAAACAGGAGATTATCCTGCGAGCAGTACGTGCACAATACGGAAAAAGTTTTAAAAAGTAGGCTCCATATAGGGAAATCATTTTATTTATTGTGTTGCGTGCACTAGTCTTATATTTGAAAGCTGGTATCGCATTTTTTTTCGACATCTAGTCCACTAAAACTTATTAAAGATGATTTCTAGTTCGTATTGTGCAGTTTCAGCACCCCAATGTTTATAAACATTACAAGTTCTCACTCGATGGAATGCCAATCGATGTTATTCGTTACGAACCACATACTTTATCTTTGAGGCCTTTTAAAATTTTTTTCCAACAGCTTCATAGATTTTTACAGCTGCGTAGTTGTGATATGATAAAGAGAGTATAAAGCTTCGACCGCTTCGCATCCATAATGGCGGTTGTTTTGAAACTTTGAATTTACTTTATGTAAGTAGTTACGAAATGTTTACATTTTGAGATGTCTTATATGAAGTAACACAAAAGACACAAACAAACTATCGAGAGTGCGCAGTACGAACTGGAAATCATCTTTAGCCATAACAAAATCATATTTTGCATCAGTTCAGTTAGACGATCTTGCATGAATATCAGCAACAGCAAGGATCGCATATCTTGAGAATGCGGACAAGGATGTTTGCCAGGGGCGTGGAAAAAAAAATAGCTTTTGTGCAGCAGCCCACTTTCTCCAAGAAACAAATTCCCCGATTTTTCTTGAGGTGAGCGGCCAACTGTAGCAGCTGTACATAGACATGTGGTCAAGACAAAAAAAAATGCTTATGGTTTATCGCACGATATAGTCCTGCGGGAAATATATAATTGAGCTTCTTGAACGCATAACAGCGACAGGAATTTTGATCCACCTGTGGAATTTTCGCGAACTTCTATTCCAAATTAGGGAAAGGAAATAAAGAAATTTACCTTAGGGAAAATAGACTTGGAAAAACAGATACGCTCAGTACAAGAGTGGCGGTGATTTCGTTAAAGCAGGTGAATTACACAGCAGAGTCTTGGCAATCAATACAACGAACAAAAAAGAGATTTCACTTACGTTTGTAAATAACCTTGATCGGTCCGTGGAACATGTAGCAGCAGACCAGCAATTTTGTTAATTTCGACAATTATT